AGCGATTGGAATGTCTCACTATATAGATATCACGGTGTTTTTTTTTATCCAATGACAGAAGAATAGTTTTCATGACAGAAATTTGCTGCAGTTTATGCAGCTCTCTTGGTCGTGGTATACGTTATGTAATATCAAAATAGCTTAAGCGGCCAATAAGAGCTGCTAAACTGCAGCAAGACAGAAATACAATAGTGGTGATAAAAGATGATAAAAAAGTTAGCAGTCTTTGGCGTGACATTGCAAAATTTCTGGCCCCAGTTATGGATTCGCACGCTACTACAACATACCAGTATTTCATAAAGCCAAAATAACGTGATTTCAACCACTCTCCCTGGTACGGGTTGCTACAATATTGCAACATTGGTTTCATTGTCGATGACGCTAAAGCCGAACGAGTGGACACTTGTTTAGCGGCTCTCCTTATTTGCTTGAATCGTTTTGTAAGGAAGCACAAACCAAACGACCGCCCCTTTTTAGGGCCATGACATATTTCAAAAAGAGAACTACCATTTCTGCTTTAATATATATTTTATAGACTTGCTGACTGTTATGATTCTGAAAAAATCAGCGGTGAACGCGCTGCCCTTAAGGCAGAAAGCTGTCACAGCTATTTTGCGTTCACCCCTTGTTTTACGCAATTAACAATTTTTATAAGTATCACGACAAACTTCAAGAAAGTCAGCTGTTAATACAACCACAATCAACGAATAGAAAATAGTTTGTGTGTGTGTGTGTGTGTGTGTGTGTGTGTGTGTAAAAAAAAGACCCCTGGGCGTGAGCCCAGATATGACCTCAACTTCCTTATTGTGTCAAAATTGGGGGGTGGGCGTTTGCCCAGGCATGGGCGTTTGCCCAGGCATGGGCTCTTACCCGGATAAGTACGGTATTATTGCAAGTTAGGTAATTAACAAAAAAACCTATTGTGTGCTTTAAAGCAAGGGAGTTGTCACCTGCGCATGCGTCAGATGGCCATAACGTGTCATTGTTTACAAACAAGCGTCTACCCCTGAGCCTTTGTGTTTTTAGCGTGTGTTGTTAACGTCGCTTGGGACTCAATTTCGCGCATACACAGGTGACGATCTTCCCGCTGTTAGTGAAAAAGATGTATAATAATTAGATTATCACAAGAATACAACAAAGTATGCACTCAGGCAGTACAGTAATGCATCATCCTCTGCTACATGTCAGTCAATATGATCACCATACTGCCTTTGTACATACTTGGCAGTATTCTCGTGATAACCTTTCATAAATGTTGCTAAGCCCCTCAAATCAGCATTAAGTATATTTCACACATGACTAAATGACTAGGGCAAAATACACAAAACTAAATTAAACATGTGCGAGAGCTGTGGTTCTTAAAGCGACACTGTCATAATGGTTCTTAAATTTCTTTTGGTTGGTCTTTCTCGACATTTTGGTGTATGTTTATTTCATTTCCAGTACTATTGTCTTGTCTACCACGTTCTAGCAGTGAAAGAACCCCCTATTTAGTACGAGTTCTTACACTTAAAACAAAAACATTGATCACAGCGCAGGGGGGGGGGGGGGAGGGGGGTAATGGTCATAACAGTACTCATGCTTCTACCTCTTAAATAAAATTAGATAAAAAAAAAACAGGATAGATCATCTGAAAATATTACTCACCTTAACAGACCTCAATGCTTTGCCACTATGAATTCTAGCCATCATTTCTTTCATTGCCTGGTTCATTGCTTTACTGTTATCTAGAATATTGTATAAAACACAATTAAACATAAGAATTATGAAAATTAGAATTATAAAGTAACTAACACACGTATAATGATGTATTTTCATTGCAATTTTTTTCATTATAACACCAAAATAAAGAAATTCCAGTGAATTTGTGGCTCAGAAACGCTAGATAAAAACATAGCTGAACTATGGTGACCTTGCCCTGTTATATAATATTATTCCCTTTATCATAGTTTGTTTCAATATAAATATGCATTGTCATATAAATTAATTTTAAATACAAACAAGTTTTTGGGGTTGAAACAACAGTGGGGAATCAGTAAATGAAGTTTTTAAATAATGAACTAGCTGTCTAATCAGGTGTATATATAATTCACTTACCATTCTTCGTTTGTTCTTGAATTATATGCTGTTTGTTATTTTTACTTCGTAAAGCACTCCTCAAAGCACTGTAATAATAATAACAAGCCATGCATGGCTCCTCGTTAGTTATCAAATCTAAGTTATATAGTTTTGTTTATAGTAATACAGTACAAGTACTTGTCTATATTGAGGGATAAAAAATACATCCATAAACGATCTGGTTCCACAGAAATGCTTTATTTTTGATGATTTTTTTTAGCATAAAAATGGCCGCCACTTGACCATTTTGAATCAGATAGTCAAACCAATACATCTGTATATCTATGACATGATGTATATTGAATATATAAAATTTGAACATAATAAGTCAAAGTATGTCAGAGATATGGCACTAGAATCCCGTTCATTAAAACAAAATAGTATCCAGTCAGCCATTTTGAATCTGATCTTGGAAACAAAATGACATGCATCAGGGACTCGTAATGTCTAATATATGTACCAAGTTTGAACAAAATCCATCTATAAACGACCAAGATCTGATGATTTTTTAGCACATTTTGAATCGGATCGTCAAACCAAAATATTTGTATATCTATAAAATAATGTATAATGAATAATTAGAATTTGAATATAATTGGTCAAAACATGTCAGATACTGCACTAGAACCACAATCATTAAAACAGAATAGCTGCCAGGTGGCCATTTTGAATCTGATCTGAAAAAATGACATGGTAGTATGGGACCCACATTCCCGCAGAAGTGTGGGACACACACTCCCACGGCAGTATGGAACACACACCACCACAGCAGTATAGAAACCCACACTCCCACAGGAAGATGGAACCATATCAAACGAATGACATACAGGGTTTCAACAATATATTCAATACAAAAATTGAGTAACACATAAACTGTTGAATAGCAACAGTAGTTGGTGGTGATGTTGAATATAAAATGATAAAACTATTCTCCTGTTTGACACAAGTATAGGTATGATGAGTAAAAGGACAACCTCTTGCATATGGAAGCTTCATTACAAAAACAGCGATAACTCGTAAACTAAATTTTGTATTATTCCTTGACATAGTTTCCAGAGTTGAATCACTTTCATATGATAGAGCAGCATTACACTCCCTCTTTATACATTATATACAGTAATAGTTGTCTGATTTGCAATCAATGAATTCACATACCTGAGTGGGTTTACTGACGATGGCGGTGGAGGTGGGGGTGGTGGCGGAGGTGGAATTGGCTTCAAAAGAGCTTTTTCCAGGTCTGTTTCAAGCTTCTTTACTGAAATATACAACATAATAATCGAATTCAAAATCAAAAACAGTCAAAACTCAATTATCTTTATATATATTAACCGAATTACCATAATTTTCATAACTAATCTAAGTGACTTCATTTCATGAGTGACATATAGTTTTTCCAATCAGAATCATG